CAACGGTCGTTTGATCGCGTCCAGTGTAGGCAGACTTTAGCTGTTGTAGACACGGTGTTACTCACCTATTGAGAAGAAACAAAGCAACCTCGCCGTCCGATCGCAGGCCTTCCGATCCTTGAGTTCTCTCCAGCGCTGGAAAGATGATTCGATATTTACACGGGTCCGCCTTATTGCCTTCTTTTTTTCCGCAGACGTTTTCCTCTATTGTTTTTTATCCGCCATCTCTATCTTTCTGTCGCTCGGCTCGCTAATGTCCATCCTGTGCACTGAACTTTCTCTCCTCCACATCATGAGTAGACACGCCCCTTACTGCTGATTGCCTACAAGTTTGTTTTGCTATTCGGCCCGAATCCGTTTTCTAAAGGGTTTTTGAAAAATCGCTTACCCCACCTTTAACAGAGGCTAGGTAATGCTAGCTAACATTAGCTAGCTGCATTGCCGGCTATGTCAACATAAAACCAACAGACTATTGGCTAATTAGTATCTGTAATGCATTTTCTGTAACTCTTTTTGCAGCTGGTTAGTTTGGTTCAAGGCTTACAATTTTTGATTGAGGAAAATGAATGGGAAATATACCTCTCTTCTGTTCTGGAGACCTGCACATGACATGCAGGGGGAAAACACAATATATTGTGGCCTAGAATTAAGAATTTGTTTGTTGTTTATTGTTTATTTTGATTTAATTAATATATTAGCTTTAATTTAGTTAAATTGTGGCCTAAAAGGAGGGAAAGAATTAGTACAACATGGCCAAAATTGAACTAAAATGAGGGAACAAATTAATAACCCATGGCCACAAATGAATAAGTCTTAATTTGTAACCACAATGTGTATTTTGTCATGTGTGGGGCTCATCTGGAATTACAACTGTAGAAAAGTGTCACTGTTGTGGACTGTTCTGTGTTTTGCGTCATTCTTTTGTGAAAGGAATTGTGAGATATTATTAACTTATTAGCATATTATTGTGTCTCTTATCTTTTATTTTCCAAACTTAGCCACAGAGAACTTGAGTTTTGCTCAGCAGTTGTTATGATGCAGACTATTTTGTTCAGGTGCAGTGTAGTCCGAAGTCTCTCTGGCAGACATTTTCAACCTGCAGAAAAGAAGACAAACTCACTAAACCTTACAAAGCACTGATTTGACATCGTGACAGCTAATTTCATTTTCAAAAAGGAAAAGCTAATCGTTCACAGCCCTGCACAACAGGATGTCGATTGCTGGACTTGAGTTTTATTTTTAGCTCTGTTTAATCTTAAAACACTGTGGCCATTTTTTTTTTTCATAGTTAACTTAAGTCTAAAGAAAGGTTTGTCCTTCAAGTGAGTCACAAAACGGCACACATCCTGACATTTACCTTGATGGAGATTCTATGTCACAATTTACACTTTTTAACACTCTATAGTACAACGCATTTTATTTTATTGAGTGTTTCACCCCAAAATTCATTATTTAAAAAAATCATTATTTACTTACCATCATGTCATTCCAAACCCGTGTGCTGTTATTTTTTGCTTGTGGACCATAAAAGTGGAATTATGAAGGTTTTTCCAAGTAGTTTTGAACAACAGTTCATAGTGGCATGCTTTTTGTTTTTTTGGTTCGTTTTTTTTGGAGAATGAAAGAAGGTTAATCAATAGTCACAATCCTTCAAAATTGTGCTTTTGTGATTCACCGAGAGAAAAAAACATGTGGGATTGGAGCAATATTAGAGTGAGTAAATAATGACAGAATAATAATTTTTAATTAAACTATTTTTAAAGGTTATTTATAAGGTCTTTTCATTATTTACTTTTCATTTCTTTTTTTCACCCTTTACATAATCATTTTCATTGAATGTTTGTAGAGTCCTTTGCTAATAAAAGGGAATTACAGAGTCTAGTCTTAATTTATGGACCGATGTTATTGTGTTTTCATTACCTCATCTTTTGTTATTCCCTCCCTCTCTGTTCTTAATTCTGTTCAATATCTGATTAAATTAGGAAATTTCGTGAAAAATCATTAATGCTGTGTGTCATCTGCTCTGACCTTTGACCTCCACTGTCATTGTTTAGCAGGCAGATGTCATTGCTCCCTCTGCTCCCATAATCCCTGTGATCCCTATCTCACCCGTCCCAGCCGAGACCACTTCCATCCCTGCACCCACGTCACAGGTTTTTTTTTATCTCATGTTTTCACTCCACCCACCTCAGCGATGGTCCTCTTGACTTACAGAGAGAATGCCACGTTATATCGCTGATGCGCACTTGTACCTCAAAAGCAATTGTGCAAGTGAAGCGTGTGATACATGTTAGCAGAAGGATTAGGTCTGCGCTGGTTTGTTATGCCACTATATTGCATATTCTGCAGTATGTTATGCTGTGTATGGACACAGGCTGTGCTGTTAATCTCTTGCAAATGCCAAAGTAATACTGTATCAGCATGCCAAGAGTAAGTGATGCTTTATTATTGAATCTTTTTCTTATTTTTTAAAATAGTTAACTGTTTATTTTGCCATTTCATTCTCAGTAGGTTAGGGACAAGAAGCAAGGTGCACGATTATGGGTCTTGATTCGTTTCAGCTCAAGTATTAACTGAATGTTTCTTTTGCAGGCAAGCCCAGCACCAGTGGTGGTGAACACAGAAAGCCTTGACACCTCGCCCTATGTAAGTCCATATGTAAGTGATGTATTTCTTCATGTACTGCATTTTGCAAAGAGGTAGATTACTGCAGAATGTTTTTCAGTTATATATAATATATACTTCAAAAATAAAATAAAAATAATTTACCTTAACTAGTTAGTTGAGTTGTTTTTTGTAATATTCAACCATTCAAAAGTTTGGCGTCTGTAAAAAAAAAAATTTTTTTTTTGAAAGTTGTCTCATATGCTTACCAAGGCTGGATTTATTTGATAAAAAATACAGTAAAAGCAGAAATTTTACTACATTTAAAAAATTAACAATTTTAATAAAAAAAAAAAAATATATATATATTTAAAAGGGGTCATATGATGCGATTTCAATTTTTCCTTTCTCTTTGGAGTGTTACAAACTCTTGGTGCATAAAGAAGATCTGTAAAGTTGCAAAGACTAAAGTCTCAAATCCAAAGAGATATTCTTTATAAAAGTTAAGAGTCAACCACGCCTACCTAAATCGGCTCGTTCTAACACGCCTCCACATGTCTATGTCATGATGTGGGAAGATTTGCATAACGCCGACCAATCCGATCGGGACAAGACATCACAGTATGGTAAGGGGCGTAACATTTCCGTCACACACTTGAGGTATTCGGCCAATCACAACGCACTGGATAGCTGGCCAATCACAGCACACCTCGCTTTTCAGACCGATGAGCTTTGTAAAAATCGATGCGTTTCAGAAAGGCGGGGCATAGAGGAGAAACAATAATGTACAGTATGTGGAAAATAATGTGTTTTTTGAACCTTAAACCGCATAAACACATTTCATTACACCAAATACACAAAATAATGTTCTTTTTAGCAACATCATATGACCCCTTTAATATATTTTAAATTGTAATTTATTTCTGCGAAGGCAAAGCTGAATTTTCAACAGCCATTATTTCAGCTTTTATTGTCACGTGATCCTTCAGAAATCATTCTAATATGCATTTATTTGAAATGGAAATCTGTTGTAACAATGTTATATTTGAAACAATATAGTTTACTGTCACTTTCAACCAATCTAATAGATTCTTGCTGAATAAAAGTATTAATTTCTTATGAATTAAAAACAAAATCTTACTGACCCCAAACTTTTGAATGTGTACTATTGTGGAGATGATTTTAGCGGCTCTCTCTTCAGTATGATGTTCAAAAATGCACAATAACAAGATGTCCTGCATGCTTAATGGCACTGAGGGTGGGATTTAATTTGATCGTGGGTCAGAAAATGAGCAAATTAGAGCAGGGAATCATTCTTAGTGTTTTTTCACTTTCAGTCAGATACCAAACTATATTTACAGATATATTATAAATAAATAAAAAATCCTGCCAAAGTGAGGAAAGAATCTTCAGTGAAAATATGCTTGCTCCTTGTTTTGTTCAAAATGAAATGAATTTTCCAGCATTTAGAAGATCATTTTAGATTACTTTGTTCCCCTACAGTATATGTGATTTTAGACATTATGGAGTTTCCTTGTTCTAGCTTGGGGATTTAACGGTGAATGACATTTATCAGGGTCCCATGACACTTCTACAATCCCATTCTCCTCTCAATCTCAGTAGCGTCTGATAATCCTACACATCAAATGCCAGAAAGCCTGCTGAGCTGACTTCTGTCATCCTTCATCAAAGACTGACTCTCAAGACTAGAGTTATCTGAATGAGATAGAACTGTGGTCTATAAAGAAAAGACCACGAGGAACTCTTGAATGACCTCATTAAATACTCCTCATTATCAGTGCTGGAGAATGAAATGCCATGTGACTTAACATCGCATGTTTCTAAGATCACTGGTTTGTAGGCCTGTCACGATAACAACTTTTTGTTGTGCGATATATTGCCCCAGAAATAATGGCGATAAGCGATATTATTATCATTTTAAATATTATTATTGACCATTTTATGCCACTGAATATATAATCATAATGTAACAGCATAATAATGCAAGAAGGCCTACACACTTCCAAATGACAACAAACTTTTAATTTTGAAGAATATTTAGATCATGGAAATTAAGTATCAAAATATTAGATTCCTTTAAAAAACTGAATAAATAATAAATAAACATTTTCTAACAAAAAGTGCAAAGTAACAAGTAGAAAAAAAGAAAAATGCACAAAGAACTTGTATGCGGGAGATTTTTCCATCTACAGATTTTTCCCTGACCTTTTCTCTGTAAATTAAGGGAAGTATCAAAATATTAGTTAGATACCTTAAAAAACTTGAATAAATAGTAAATAAACATTTTCTAACAAAAAGTGCTAAGTAGAAAAAAAGAAAAATGCACAAAATATTTTTCCCTGACCTTCTTTTCTCTGTAAATTAAGGGTGCACACTATTGCTGAAAAACACAATCACTACTTAGCAGTCGGATGTCCGTATGCACAAAGGCACAGATCCCTAAACAAAACCATTTCTGTAGATTAAACTTTTTTTTGTAGAAGCATTTTTTAAATTTGAATTAGCACCTCTTCATGACTACACCACGTTATGTACGAGAAGCTGCAAAAAGACACAGGCGTAAGTGGAATGTACAAAACATGGTGACATTAATTTTTAAGTAAATATAATGGGCGATATATTACATCACCAAAAATTATTGAGGTCATGTACATATATTGCGCGATAAGTCGATATATTGATTATTGCGACAGGCCTACTGGTTTGTGATTTTGATGTGTAGGGTGAGTTTCATTAGAAAAAAGTAAACCTGCCCTTAAATTATAATTTTTATAATCATAATCAATGCAATAAAAGGTTTGCACGTTAGTGATTAAGACCCAAAGATATTGAGGAGTTTCACCCAGTAATATTACATGCATAGAGCTGGCACTCACCAGCTGGCTGTAGAAATTACCATAACTGAGGTAACATAACTGAGGTGAAAAGAAGGTGAGAAGAGGAATTTGAAGGGCCATTGTTAAAATTTTGGTCAATTTGTTCTGTTTAAAGTATGTTTTGTTGAAAATTAAAGGATATTTCTACATTGTATTACCCACATTGTATTTTTGACATTGAGGTGGATTTATAGTGATCTGGCTTGTGGTTTGCAAAATCCAAATGGTATTTTTTCTTTTTGTAAACAAATGCTTTTGAGAAATTTCCATTTAAGAAATGTACAGTATAAAGGGCAATGTTGATGTTGAACAATCCTTGTGCATACACGTCTATTCCTGTTTTGATCGTTCATTATCTTGCATACATACACTGTAGTAGTAGTCTGATATTGATCGTGTAAATGCCTGTTTTGGCTCTGATCCCTGTGGCTGGTTGTTTGTGGCCCTACACCCAGTATGTGAGTAACAGCATACAGCAGTGCTGAAAGCCTGTAAATGCCTCCCATAAAACAAGAGAAAAGGTTATTGTCAGTAGAATTCATTTCAGAATTGTGACGATTCTGGTCAATATATGTAGTTATGCCAGAATGAAAAGGCCTTTTTGGATTTTTTATGTTCTTTGAAAAATGATACAAAAGCATTAAAGTAATAGCATGAATGTTATTGTAGTATGACGCCGAGAGCTGGTGGCATGATTAGAGTATTATGCCGTATTGGGCAGTGTCAGTATTGACGTACATCTCTCACCCCCTTTAAACCCCACCTCAACACCATTAATGTCAAAGACAGATGTTTTCAGCAGCAGTTACAGAAAGAGAGAGCAAAATGTTTAGGATGTTTAGTATTTAAGGTCTTTAAATATCATTTAGAAGCTTAAAGCAGAGCCTCCAGAACCACACAAACATCTAAAAGCTGATGCGTTGATGCTGAGTTTTGGTCTCATCGTGCACCGCTGTTTTCATTCATTTTGATTTCAAGCATTTAGTCCTGTTTCTAACAGTTTCATATAAAACTTTGATTATAGAACATCTATCTAGCCTCATTTAAATGAAAACTCAATTTGAACTCGTCCCGAGTACTGTTTACTCCATGTAAACACTCCTTTCTGGTATCCTTGCCTGTATCATGTGAAAGTTACCAAGGTTTACTAGGTGTTACATGGTCATGACTTTGAAGTTGAAAGATTGGATATAGTTTTACGCACACCAGGCCAATAAGCAATTCTATCACTTTAGTTTCATGCCAACATGCATAATGTTTAAGTTACGGTTACTTTTTTTTACAGTAAATAATTCAGACTTGTCCCTCAATAAATGTCACTTACAAAGAAAGTACACCAGGCAATAAACTCTAAAACACACTGTTTTAGAATTTATTGCCTGGTGTACTTTCTTTGAAAGTGACATTTATTGAGGGACAAGTCTGAATTATTTACTGTGGTAATCAACATTATGCAGCAAATGCTGTTGGGTACAGCTTAACTTGTGTTGAACCCAGAATGTTGAAAGCGAGTGGACTGCATTGCATGTTTAGTCGACAGCTAGCGCCTGTGTTCTTCACGGTTTTGGTTGCTGTGGCCTCTTTGGCTGAAAAACACAGTAACTGGAAATAGATGTAATGTTGCCTGAGTTTTGTAGCACCAAGAACGGTAGAATCAGTAGAGGGGAAATGTAAGGAGTGGAAAGAGAAAACACAGAGACTTTTCCAAACAGTTCATTCTTAGATAATTAGAGCACTTTTTTAGCACAACTTTTTATTATGGAAGATTATTTTTGCCCAGATGGAATCTGAAGATGAAATCTACTATGTTTTTTGCAGAAAATCTGAGGAATTCTGCTGAGTGGATTTAGATAAATGTATTAAATGGAACTTTGAGTACTAGCTACGGATATACTGATCTGTATATCTTTTATTGCTGTTGATTGTTATTTGCTCTGGTATAATGTGGTTTTATGCACAGAAAAAGTGCATATGCCTCGTCGTTACTCTAAAGAACATTTTATACTTGATCTAACTTAATAAATTTACTTTTCTGTCATGTCATTTCTGTCATGAAAATTCTGTCATTAATTACTCACCCTCATGTCGTTTCAAACCCGTAAGACCTTCGTTCATCTTCGGAACACAAATTAAGATATTTTTGATGGAATCTGAGAGCTGTCTGACCCTGCATAGACAGCGTTTTTTTTTTCTTTTGCGCACAAAATGTATTGTCGTAGCTTCGTAAAATTATGTTTGAACGACTGATGTCACATGGATTATTTTACAGATCTCCTTGCTACGTTTCTGGACTTGGGAACATTTCAGTTGTATTGCTGTCTATGCAGGGTCAGACAGCTCTCAGATTCCATCAAAAATATCTTAATTTGTGTTCCGAAGATGAACGAAGGTCTTACGGGTTTGAAACGACATGAGGGTGAGTAATTAATGACAGAATTTTCATTTTTGGGTGAACTAACTCTTTAATTGGAAGTAAAACTAAGTTTTGTTGGTGTAATTTAAACAATTTGCATCAAATCAAATGACAATTTTGTGTTCTTTGAAAACCACATGACCACAAGTCCCATGCTTTGATTGGGACTTAATGAAAATAAAAAATTATGAAATTATTTTATGTGTTTCTGCAAGATGAGAAAAGCGAGAGACTTATAGTGTTTAATGGTGTTTAATGTTCAATTATGTTGGAATAATTAGAACCGTTTAAATTACACTGGGTTACCATTGTGGGGAAGAGTGGAGCATTTGCTTAGGCTGTGGACTTGTACAGCACATGCTATTACTGTTTTGGTCAAAGAGCATTTAACACTTAGCATTTACAGTTAGCATACTATGTATGTATTATTTAACATGCTATATGTGCTATTTCTAGGTAACTTGTTAGCTACTTAGTACAGTTCTATAATTCAGTTATATGACAAAAAAAAATTATAAAATTGAATTAATCCTGTAGGAGAACCACATAAAATAATTTTGAGCCTACTTAATGGGATCACTTTTTTCAGTGTGCTTAATATGTACAATTTAGATTTGCATTTATCTGGATATTTGATTTAAAAATATGTAAAAGTTTAAGTTAATCCAAATAGATTTAGTGATCATTTGTGGTATAATTATGTAAAAAATATATTTGGTTGAAAGTGAATTTTTAGTTTCAGTTGACTATCTAAATTTGATTTGGTCAAACTTCATTTTTTTCAGTTGGGGAAAAAGTGAACCGATTACTTGTAACAAGTTGAAATAATTTTTATTTTTATTTTGATCTAATGACATTTTTTTCAGTGATGATGTCTGTCTATATTAGTCTGTCTATTGTATGTTAGTACATTTGTGCATTTTAATAATATATTACTAGCAGTGTGAATCTAGCAGGAAATTTCTCTCTTTGATTCAGTTCTGAACAGTTGCTGAACAGTTGCTTCTGACAAGAAAAAAAAAATGAAATTTTGTTGCCAAATGATGAGATAATCAATAATTAAAAATACATTTAAAACAATTTCTGTAAAAGGTTTGTCAAAGACTTTTTAATGACTTTTCACAGTAGAGGTTGCGATCTAATTTCTAATTGTTCATGACACTGGTGTTTTAGAAAAAAAAGAAAGAAAAAAAAAAAAGAATATAGAGAGTAAAATCAGGTAATTAATAAGACTCCTGAATTACAGAAACTTGCATAACTGAACGTTTTTGGGTGACACTAATAGAGGAGGGCATTCATGTATGTCTGTGTATTTTGACATTGTATATTTACAAAATTCGTTTTTTAAACTTTCAGGTGAATGGAACAGAAGCTGATTATGAATATGAAGAAATTACACTTGAACGGGTAAGATTGCTCAGACAATGACAAAAAAAGTCTGGCTTTTTTCTTCGGTTGACATTTTCTCTTTTTTGTTCTGACATGTGTTTTTTTTTCCCTTCAGGGGAACTCGGGCCTGGGTTTCAGTATTGCAGGCGGTACAGATAACCCCCACATCGGCGAAGACCCAAGCATCTTTATCACCAAGATCATCCCAGGAGGAGCAGCCGCACAGGATGGCAGACTCGGGTCAGAAAATGTGTATTAGGCCTGTTTCACATCACACACATAAGCAGCGCATATTTATTTCTGAGCCCATATTAACAAGTTACAAGTTAACATCATAAGCAGCACAGTATTGTATACAGGGCTGGATTGGTAATCGGGCATACCGGGCATTTTCCCGGTGGGCCGACAGAATTTTTTACATTTTTTATTTTTTTTTGCCAAGGACCATCACGCAGGGACAGCGAGCAGCCAGTGGCCCATTGGATTGTCTCCTGTATAGACAGCGTAAACCATCCAATCACAATGCGCTATAGACGGAGCGATGAAGTATTTTGCTCCGCCTATATAAAGATCGCTTCACTCCAACTTCTTCCTCGTCGCCTTTTCCCACGTTTTCACAGCAGATTTATCAAGAACAGGCTTGCTCTGCGGTGAGTGATGCTGGCCAAAGAGCCAGGCAGGAGGAGGAGAGGAGAGTAGTTGAATCGGTAAAGTGCTTGATAGGGACTCGCAACGGAGGCAGACATCTAACCTATTCTGATGTGTGTGCGCGCCATGAGTGTAGAATACGTAGGCCTAAACACCTTTTAATAAAATGTAAATTCGTCCCCCGCGCTTTTTTGGCCAAGTCAAGTGTGTTCATAGAGGTTTCCATGGGCCAATGCAAATAAATCTAGATTTAAATTAAAAAAGACACGATATTGTCGGACCACAACATCTTTAATTTAATAGCATTACAGCTTTGCTGTAATAATGCAGGGAACCACTCGTTATAAATCTCCTAACTGTGATATTTTCAGAAATAGAAGTCGCGTTTTTTTCATTAGAAACGTGCTGCGATATTTTGTATTCCAAAGCCACTCATATAATGCAGAAACACTCAAGCAAGCAAAACACGCGCAACGCCTGCACGTGTTTGTACTGATGCAGAATAATACAGTCTAGCGCATTTCACACAGGCTGCTAGATTCACTTTCGCTAGAAAGTCGTGTATGCCTAAGGTTGAAAATAAATGATGATTATAGTGAATGCCCCTATGAATGGTTTTATTTATACGATTTCGTTTTAATTCAAATGATGCGTGCGCTCAGTGAGTGAACATCAAAGATCACACAACAGAAGTGCGCGCGCTCTCTCTCTCTCGCTCTCCCTACCGTTAAGTAACTTGTGCATTGTTTTACTTACTTGTCTTTGACATATCCGACCGAACTATAAACTTTCCAATGATGTCTGTGAGAAAGGTATATTCACTCGACAAGCTCGCGCATCTGCGCCGCCGCGCGCTCAATCCACTCAGCGCGCTTTGTTAATCAGCTCGCGCACATCAGCTATACAGGCGTTAATACTGAATGTTTAACATCATATTCATTGCATACATATACTTCGTAGTAGACATCCATAACTCCTTTCTGCTGTCTGTTGTCAGTGTTTCTTTGTTTAAATATGGCGCTTATCACATGCTGTGTGGTATCGGCGTTTGGTATCGGGGCATTTTAACGAGTACGAGTACGAGTACAGGAGGCCAGTATCGGGCCCGATACCAGTATCGGTAT